CAGTCAGGGGACTGGGAGCAGGGGGGTTGGATAGGAGGTGGGGTCCCAGGGGGCAGTTAGGGGCAGGGGGTGGTTGGGGCAGGGGGTCCCGGGAGGGGACGGTTATGGGACAAGGAGCAGGGGGGTTGGATGGGCTGGGAGTTCTGAGGGGGGCAGTCAGGGGGCGGGAAGTGGGAGGGGGCGGATTGGGGGTGGGGGCCAGGCTGTTTGGGGAGGCACAGCCTTCCCTACCCGGCCCTCCATACAGTTTTGCAACCCCAATGTGGCCCTCGGGCCAAAAAGTTTGCCCACCCCTGCTGTAAGGCCTAAAGCCTAAGGCCTTTGTCTGCAGCCAGATTAAAAGAGCAGCCAAGCAACAGCCATTAGCTGAGAAGCAGAAAGTCACATCCTCACATTCCATCTAAATTACATTAAAACAGGCTCACATATTAGATGGCTCACATATCATATGCCCCCATAGGTAGAACATATGCTGTATTATCAAATTGTGTGGTTCCCATTCATGGTCCCTTGATAAGAATCTGCTAAGGCTGTCCACAAGCTTGTTGCATTGCTCCAGGAGGTGCACTGCTGACAGAGTGACTGATGCACCAATTCCATAGGTTGACAGCTATTGCGCATAATGGAGTGGATTTTGCATCACTTGGTCTGTTGATATAGATTACTGTTGACTTGTTCAATCGCACTTCTGCATGTCTCACTGCTGTGCATGGGAGGAAGCATTTGCAAGCCCTGCGGACTGCTTGCGGTTCTAGCAGATTTATATGCATTCTGAACTCTTGTGGTGTCCAAGTGTCTTCTGCCACTTGTTCGTCCAGATGGCTGTCCCAGCCTAGGGAGGAGGCATCCGGAATTAATACTTTTTCTGGTGGTGGTGAAGTGAAAGCAATTCCTGTGCAAACCTGGTGGCTGTTTGCCCATCAGTTTACTGAGTCCTGTATTCTCTGAGTGGTGGCTCTTTTTCGATGCAGTCTCTGCTTGGGATGTACATTGTTTTGAGCTAAGTTTTGAGCTAAGGCACAAGGTCGGAGCTTTGCAAACTGTGTTACATAAGTACAGGCTGCCATTGGCCTAAGAGTAAGACAAGTTTGAACCCAGGTCTGTGGACTGGCCTGAAAGCTGCATGACCATTGTTGTCACTGTCTAGCAGGAAAGCTCTGTCTCTGACGGAATTCAGTGTTGCTCCAATGAATTCTTCTGTCTATGTGAGGACTAACAACGATTTCTCTTTGTCTACAGAGATGCCCAGGGACTGATGCAGCTAGAATAGGGGCTCTTGTTGCAGAATGGACCTCTTAGTGAGATCTCCCAGTCAGTAACCATTTGTCAAGGGGCAGAAATATTGAGATTCCCTTGAGGCAAAGGTGGGCTACCACTGACATCATTTCTGTAAACACCCTTGGGGCTGTAGCCAGACTGAAGGGAAGTAGCTTGTACTGTTAATGATAGGAACCTATGGAAACCTGAGAACTTTCCTGTGTGCAAGTGAGGTACATGAAAACAGGTATCCTTCACGTTGTGAATTATGAACTAGTCTCCTTTGCTTAATGATAAAATTGCTGCTGCCAACGTTACCATTCTAAATCGTGTTGCTGGGATATAGACACTGAGTTGCTGTAGGTTTATGGTTTTTTTCTTTGAATCATGAAGTATTTGTAATAGAATCCTCTTCCTTGGTAAAGGGGAGAACCAGGTTCTGTGGCTCCCAGTTGAAGACGGGAGTTTATCTCCTGTGAGAGTGATCCCTGAAGAGAAATCGGGATGGAGGATGAGGAGGGGAAAGGGAGAGGAATTCTACTGTATATCCTGTTTGGATAATATCAAGAATCCATCTGTTGGATGTAATGCTCTGCCAGTTGTCAAAGAAGTGGGCTAAATGACCCCCAAATCAGAAAAAGTTAGACAAATTTAGCTATAGAGATGATTTGCAGCTCCTTAGGTTCCAGTTGGAAGGAGGAGGCAGAAGGAGTTGTTTGTTTAAGCCTCTGTAGTTGTGTGCACTTCTTTGGGGGCTCATAATGGCTATGATGGAAGAATGGCTCAGGAGTTGATCTTTGTCTGGTGCATAAATCCTGAGGGAGAGGAGAATTGCCCAGGATACCTTTAACGAAAGTAGGGACTTGTTCATCCTTTCACTAAAAAGCTAAGTTTCCTCTGAAGGGCAGATCCTCGATTCTGACTTGGCTCTCCTTTGGGAACCCAGATGAGTGAAGCCACGCCACTCTTTTCACAATCACAGCAGTGGCTACTGACCAAGCAGCCATGCCAGCCACATTGATGGCAGTGATGACTTCACAGTCAGGTTTCCCTCCTAGATGAGTGCTTCAAACTGTCCTCTAAGCTCACGTGGAATCTTATCTGAAAACTCTGTGAATAAGTTGTAGTTCACAAGGTTGTACTTGGCCAAAAGCACCTGACAGTTTGCTATTGTGAATTGCAGGCTGGTAGCTGAAAAGACCTTTCTGCCAACAGTACAGTCCCTTAGCTTCCTTATCAAGTGGAAAAGATCATACCTGGTGTTGCCTGTTTCTCTCTGATGCTGCTTGGGCAATCAGTGGATTTGGTGCTGGATGACTAAATAAAAATTCTGTCCCTTTGGCTGGGACAAAACATGTCTTCTCTGTCCTTTTAAGGGTGAGAGCACATGTGGCAGGTGTGTGCCACACCATCTTTGCTGGTTCCATGATCACGTCATTAATAGATAGTGCAATTTTACTGAGTCCAATAATCTGAAGGATATCAGAGTTTGTGGGATGCCTCCTGCGCCTCCACCATATCAAGTAGCAAGAGCTATGCTACAAAAGTTACTAACTGTTCTTGTAGTGTAGTTTCTTGATAAGAGTAATTTAGGCTACGTCCTCACTACAGGGGGGGGTCGATTTAAGATACGCAAATTCAGCTACGCGAATAGCGTAGCTGAATTCGACGTATCGCAGCCGACTTACCCCGCTGTAAGGACAGTGGCAAAATCGACCTCCGCGGCTTCCCGTTGACGGCGCTTACTCCCACCTCCGCTGGTGGAGTAAGAGCGTCGATTCGGGGATCGATTGTCGCGTCCCAACGGGACGCGATAATTCGATCCCCGAGAGGTCGATTTCTACCCGCCGATTCAGGCGGGTAGTGTAGACATAGCCTTAGATGTTAAATGTGTTAAAAGTCCTAGCACAGATGCCCTCAAATTCTGAATATAAGAAACTAGACAGTATATTGACAATATAACTCAATTATTAGTGCTTTTGTACTGGGACAGACTGTGGGATCAAGTCATACACCAAAGCTTGTACTAAAATGGTGATGCTATGTTGCACTACAAAATGTTGCTTAATGTTACAGGCACCATCCTGTGGATAAATTATGAAGGTGGAGATTAAAGATTACAAGACAATCTTCAAAGCAAGAAAGGAACTTATCTGGTGACCTGGCCAACATTCCCCTCTTAGGGATTTGCAGGGGGAGAGGGGTTCTAAAGTTCAAGACTATGTGAACAAATATTAAATGCCTCCATGTGCCTAATCATTCTATATTAAGAGTATTTAAACAATAAAGTTTGAGTATTAAAGACAATGTACAATCAAATTCTATTCTCTAGGGATATCCGGCCTCTGACTCTGTGGCTGAGAAGGGGGCCAAGGGAGTAGAATCAGCTGCTACCTAAGGAGCAGGAAGGGTTTGTAGGGAAAGGATGCACACCCTTTAGGGTAACTGGAGCCCCATTCTTTGTGGGGAAGGGTTGTTCGGTTCCTGCACAGCACCAAGCAATGAAAGAACACAACTGCATTATGGGAGGAGTGAACGGCTACTCAGGCTGGGCTCCTAGGTTCAGAATTTGATAGGATAGAGTACAAGAACTATGTGCATACCTAAACAATTGATTCACTTTTGTTTGTTTGTTTAAAATGTGATTTAAATTCCAAGGATAAACGGTTTTGCATCTTCAGAATATAATTTTCACATAATTAAAACACACACATTCTCATTCAGAAAAATAATTAATAATCAATCTGACATCAGGAATCATAAAATTCAAAAACCAATAGGAGAACACTTCCATCTCTCTGGTCACTCAATAACAGACCTCAAAGTGGCAATTATTCAACAAAAAAACTTCAAAAACAGACTCCAATGTGAAGCTGCAGAACTGGAATTAATTTGCAAACTAGATACCATCAGATTAGGCCTGAATAAAGACTGGGAGTGGTTGGGTCATTACAAAACCTAAACTTAATTTCCCCAATACTAATTTCTCCCTACCATTACTCACACCTTCTTGTCAACTGTCTGTAATGGGCCACTCTCTTACCACTTCAAAAGTAATTTTTCTTCCCTTGGTATCCTGCTGTTAATTGATTTATCTCATTAGACTGACCTAACACTTGGTAAAGCACCCACATCCTTTCATGTATTTATACTTGCTCCTGTATTTTTTACTTCATACATCTGATGAAGTGGGTTCTAGCCCACGAAAGCTTATGCCCAAATAAATTTGTTAGTCTCTAAGGGCCACAAGGACTCCTCGTTTTTCTTGTATTCTCTGAATGCTAACAACATACAACATGTTTTACACAATTTGCTTCATTTGCCAAAATGGCTGTTGGACTGTTAGAGTGGAACAAAAATGCTGTTTTTCACAGTCCCAAAATTATAGAAAAACTAATTCCACTAAGCTCTTTGTCATTCGGAAATACAGTACTAATAGAGTACTGACTCCACATTCTCATCACAGAAGCAAGGAAATTATATTTAAATGCAAGCACACACAGGCACAGTAGCTTGACAGAAGTTCTGGAGTTGAAATTTTTCAGTTTCAGTAGTGACACACCTGGATATTTATGCGAAAAACCTCAGTAAGCCGCCTCTGTTTTGAATTATGCTGATAGGAAATGTGGAGATTTTAAGATTCTGCTGAAAGCTTAGTCAGCCTGCTAAAGTCACAAGGCCTAAGCATTTCCAAACTTTCCTTTTCTTTTAAAGTATGAATGAGAATGAAATGTTATACTCACAGTGTTTGGTACGTATGGTAATCCATAAAATTTCTCCTGGGTTTCCTTTAAAATTTCTGTGGTTGACCTCTTTAGAGGATGTTCCCCATGGTAGAGTTGGTCCAAGACAGCATAAAAGACCTAGACAGATAAAACATATATTCAGCTTTGGCTCACAGTCTTGGCATTTGACATGTGGTTAACCAACAAAGACAGAGGCAATAGAATAAACCATGAGAACTTAAAATATGTACATTTCCTGGCTCTTCTATTTTTGGTATAAAATAAAAGGATAAGGGACTGATCCTTGTGCTGAGTGCCCTCAATCCAACTGACAAACAGATGTTGAGGACTTAGTGTCTTGTAAGATTAGTTCCCTGACACTTAAAATGCACTGTCAACCTCTGTAAGCTCATGTATTTTTCTACCTTAAACAAAATTGAAACCAATGCCTAATGTCCCAAAGAAGTCCATCTTTTTGGGGGGGAAAGTTTTAAAATACTCTTATTAATAAGAGACTTTCAAAATACCTTCCTTGGGTTCTGAGAGACAGACACAGCACAGCCCAACATGATGTCACTAGGATGCACATGCTGTGTATGGCGCCATAAAGAGTAGAAGATCACAACTGCCGTGAAGAGGGCTAAGCAGTGGACACCAAAAGTGTCTTGAGACGGATGGCAGAAGGAGCCACTGGTGGCACCTCTCAAGTTCCCTCTAGAACTGGTCCAAGGCATAAGAAGAGGTAAGGGAATTAGGAAAGAAGTGCTACTGAAAGAGATCAATATTTTACTGGTGCTTGGAGCAGCATATGTGGGACTTTTATGGGACTCAGGAATTGTATGAGAGGTGCTGAGGGTTTTTCAGGGTTGGAAGTCACAGAGTGAGAAATGGAGTTGCAGCATGTTGATTTGTGAGACTAAATGCTTTGTGGGAGGTTTGTGGGGCAGAGACAACTGTCCAATTCACGATATTCTGCAAAGATTTGGTGGAGACAGACATTAGGCCTAAACCAGGAGTCAGGTTGCAGTAGGATGGACCAACTGTTAGGTGGAGCAGCAGCCACACTAAGCACCCTAGGGACCCATACAGGATTTCTTGTCTGTGGATAAAGTGGCCCAGTGCAAATCCCATGGAAATAAATATATTTAGGAGTTAGGAAGAAATAGTTAACTGCAGCCCCTCCCCAACATCTAAGTGGAGCACCAGGATGTTTCACAGGAAACCATTGTGCTCCTGCTGGAAGGAGATGAATTTGTGATTCAGGAGGTAACATTAATATCTTATCCTTTATCAACACTTGTGTAATACAATACTACTATATTAACTCCTTTACTGCTTTGGGAGCCCTGAGACAATTCAGGAGCTTAACTGTGTACTAGCTCTGTGCTATCATGAAAATCCAAACAGAAATGGCTTTTTACTGAAATATAACGAGATTAAAGTTTTAACAGACATTTGTCACAGCCCTGTTAAAGCTCCCCCTGCTGGACATTCACCAGGCTGCCACGTTTCAGTCTCACATGCCAGACCCATCTGCTTCTAAGCTTCCCTTGGTCTGGGTAGCCTCCGGCACTGTTTCTTTGGCCTCTCTGGAATACATCCCACTGGGCACAGCGTCTATTACCCTTCACAGAAGTGGGAACTCAGGGTCCAACTGCCTTAGGTTCTCAGAACCACCACCACCCCCTGCCAAGGTACACCAGTTGCTTAAGCACACTCTTTCTCATAATTCCAGCCTTGTGAGCACTCTGGTGTACAGTTTAGATGAAACAAGTAACACACAGGCATTGCAAAAGGGATTCTAAAACACTTATCCTTTACTTTAAAAAAACTTATGAGATATACTGATCTACACAAACCAACAGAACTCCTATTTATCATTCCCTTCCTTAATTTCCTCACCACTCAAGTGTTCTTTGTTTGGGATTTAGAATGATAGAATTGTAGGATCGGAGGGAACCTCGAGAGGTCATTTAGTCCAGTCCCCTGCACTCATGGAAAGACTAAGTATTATCTAGACCATCCTTGACAGGTGTTTGTCTAACCTGCTCTTAAAAATCTCCAATGATGGAGATTCCACAACATTCCTCAGCAATTTATTCCAATGCTTAACGACCCTGAGAGTTAGGAAGTTTTTCCTAATGTCCAACCTAAACTGCCCTTGCTGCAACTTAAGCTCATTGCTTCTTGTCCTAAAAAGGGTTAAAAGTAGCCCTGGAGAGGTCTGCGGCAGGGATAGAGAAGTAGAAGCAGCAAAAGTAGGCTGATTGGGGAAGCAGCCACAGCTGTCACTGCGCCCAGTCAGGGCCCAGCTGGCCCTGATAACAGGGCTGGAGGGCCAGGAGACAGGGGAGTTTCTCTCCAGCCCTGGAGGGAGAAGGGCTGGCTGCCTGGGAGAAAAGGGTACCTGAACTGGAGCAGTGCTGGGGAATAAGGCAGGAGGAACTGGGGAGCTCCAACCTGGTAAACCTCCAGGCTGCAGGCCTTGTGCAAGGCCTAAAGAAGGGTACTGGGGTTAGGCAGAGGCCGCTGGACCAAACCTCCTTGCCAATGAGGAGTGGCCTTTACAGACTGCAGTTTGCCCCAGTAAGCAGGGGCTAGATGACGACTGGCAGTAGCCACTGAGGCAAGGTGAGCTTAGAGGGTTGGGGGTTCCCCTGGGAGGGGAGACGCAGAGCATGGGGGTACTACTGGGGCAGAATCCTGAAGTAAAGGGCACCAGGGTCCGGGAGGAACACAGGTCCAGCAGCAGGCGAGACACCGGCCTGCAGAGGGTGCTCCAAAGCTGGAATTGAGCTAATTCCCAGGACAACCGACAGGAGGTGCTGCGCAGGTAAGTCATCACATCACTACACCTATCCTCAGAGGTTAAGAGGAGCAATTTTTCTCCCTCTTTGGTGTAATAACCTTTTATGTACTTGAAAACTGTTATGTCCCCTCTCAATCTTCTCTTCTCCAGACTAAACAAACCCAACTTTTTCAATCTTCCCTCAAAGGTCATGTTTTCTAGACCTTGAATCTTCTTTGTTGCTCTTCTCTGGACTTTCTCCAATTTGTCCACAACTTGCCTGAAATGTGGCACCGAGAACTGGACACAATTCTCCAGTTGAGGCCTAATCAACAGAGAGGAATTACTTCTTGTGTCTTCCTTACAACATTCCTGCTAATATATCCCAGAATGATGTTTGTTTTAGTTTTTGTAACAGTGTTACACTGTTGATTCATATTTAGTTGTGATCCAGTAGGACCTCCAGATCCCTTTCTGGGAGTACTCCTTCCTAGGCAGTCATTTCCTGTTTTGTATGTATGCATCTGATTGTTCCTCCCTAAGTGGAGTACTTTGCATTTGTCCTTATTGAATTTCATCCTATCACTTCAGACCATTTCTCCAGTTTGTCCAGATCATTTTGTATTTTAATTGTATCTTCCAAAGCACTTGCAACTCCTCCCAGTTTGGTATCATCCACAAACTTTGTAAGTGTACTCTCTATGCTATTGTCTAGATCACTGATGAAGATATTGAACAGAACCAGACTCAGAACCGATACTGTGGGACCCTACTTCATATGCCCTTCCAGTTTGACTGTAAACCACTGATAACTACTCTCTGGGAACGTTTATCCAACCAGTTATGCACTCCACCTTATAGTAGCTCCATCTAGGTTGTATTTCCCTAGTTTGTTTATGAGGTCACGCAAGATGGTATCAAAAGCCTTACTAAAGTCAAGATATACCACATCTACCTCTTCCCCCTTATCCACAAGGCTTGTTACCCTGTCAAAGAAAGCTATTAGGTTGATTTGACATGATTTGTTCTTGACAAATCCATGCTGACTGTTACTTATCACCTTATTATCTTCTAGTTGTCTGCAAACTGATTGCTTAATTACTTGCTCCATTATCTTTCTGGGTACTGAAATTTAGCCATTTAGTCAGAGTACTTCGGGGGTCCAGGATCGCACCCTCCTGAACAGGGCTCCTCCTCCAAATCATGGAGTCTCTCTCGCTCTCTCTCACACAGCTAGCTTCCGTCTCTCTCTCCCCTCACATAATGGCAGGTGAGAGACCCTTTCTTAACCTCTGGGCCCCTCTATTCCCTTTAAAAAAAAAAAAATCTGTACATGAAATAGGGAACTTGGGAGACGGTACTGTGAAAAAGATGAGCGAATCATTCACACCAGCAGTTCTCAACCAGGGGTCCCGTGCCTCCTGGGGGGCTGCGAGCAGGTTTCAGGGGGTCTGCTAAGCAGGGCTGGCGTTAGACTGTATGGGACCCAGGGCAGAAAGCCCAAGCCTGAGCCTGAACCCTGCCATGCGAGGCTGAAACCAAAGCCCGAGCAACTTAGCTTGCTACCCGCTAATGCTGGTCCTGGCTTTTATATGCAGAAAAACAGTTGTTGTGGCACAGGTGGGTCGTGGAGTTTTTATAAGATGCTGGGGGGGGGGGGCCTCAGAAGAAAAAAGTTGAGATGATCTGACTAAAATGGAATTGTGTCTTATAGCACGCTCAACTATTTCTTTGAAAGTCTTATGATTGGGTAAAAAAAATCCAAACCCACTGACAGCTTGCGACTTAGCCAGAGTTCATTCATTATCATAGATTTGGTTTGGATTATGTCCTATCTAAGTCTTTACGACTAAATGTAAATATTTCCTAAGGATTCTGTTACTTCTGTTTGAATTACTCTCTTCCAAACATATAGCAGCTTATTAAACCTTTCAACTAGATTTCCAAAATGATAAACTCTGGTAAGACATTCAAAAGCTGCTTTTCCATGGCACACGTGTATGCTCTTGTGGTTAGAGCAGAGAACTGGGTGTCAGGACTTCTGGGATCTATTTCTGGACCCTCTGCTAAAAAACAATGAGGTGGGTTATTTAGAGAATAATGCAGAAATAGAGAGCTGGAGAAATAAGCCACTGAAGCGAGTTACAAGCTTCCCCCTTCCCTGGCACATGTAGAGTGTTAGAAGGAAGTTCTGACCCTTGTAGGGTGATCAGATGTCCCGATTTTATAGGGACAGTCCTGATTTTGGGGTCTTTTTCTCACATAGGCACCTATTACCCCCTACCTCCTGTCCTGATTTTTGACACTTACTATCTGGTCAGCCTAGACCCAGGCCACCAGGAGTGCACAG